TTTTTTTTTTTTTTTTTTTTTTTCGGAACTGGGGATTGAACTCAGATCCTTGCGTTTGCCGGTCAAGCGCTTATCCTACTGAGCCATCTCCCCGACCCCAAAGTTTATTTACAACCATACATCCTTTTGTTCACTACAGAGAATGAGTGAGAACACAATTTAAAAAGAAAAAGACTTCCAAGCTTTTTGCAGTGCTTAAAACCATGGGGAGGGATGTCATCTGCAAAATTATTTGGAGGGGGAAGAATTTTCTCCAGTGGAAGGAAAAGAGGGGAGAAAAAAAGAATGATTCGATAAAAAAGAGTTTTCCAATACCCTATTGTCAGGGGTATGGAAAATCAAGAGTATAGGAAGAAATACCTCTTTTCTGTCGCCCGCGTCCCTGCTACCTTTCTATCCCTCGCCAAGAGTTCTTGTGGCACAATCGCTGCTCCCTGGGGAAGTGACTCTTGGGAAGCCCCGTGGCGAAAGCCCTGCCAGCAGGTGTGCAGCGTGACATGAAGGGGGATCTCGGGGCTCCCGGGTGAGGGTCAGTCTGCAGAAAGGAGCCTGGAGCTGCTGAGTGGCGCAGACCAGTTCTTGCTGGTCCAGGAAGCAGGGGAAGACCTGCCCACGCGGAGCTGCTGCGAGGAGCGTCTGGACCTGGACCTGGCTGGTTCTGGTTCTGAGAGCGAGCCAGACGTTCGGGGTTGGGGGTGGGGCGCACTCACGCTTACTTACCTCTCAGGATTCAACCAGAAACCTCTTGATTTGACATTTACCTTATAACTTTGCTTTGTGAAGCTTGTAATCACTATTTGTTTCCCGAGAGGTTGTCTTCGGAGCAGCCCAAGGTCAGGAAGCCACCGAGCCAGGAAGGGCATAAAATTCAATAGCCGGTGAGAGCACTTGGCTAAAGACCCGGGGTTTCCAGAGCAGCCCCTGCGCGCTAGAGGCCTCGGTGGACAGAGAGTCTGAACTCAGAGTTCTGGAAAGCCTCTCCTAGGGTCTTGATTTACTTGTATTTTTATTCCCTCTTACTTCTTCTTCTTTTTTTTTTTTTTTTTTAGAGCTTAAAAAATTTCCATTGTAGCTGGAAAGGCAGGAAAGGTACTAACTTCAACCACATTTTCGAGACTCCATAAAAGCTAAAGAAAAATAACAGAAAACGAACAAGGTACCACAGAAAGGTGCAAGACCTTTGTAGGTCAGTGGAGGAAGGCAAGTCCCTCAACCTTATCTTAAAATAAAAAATTGGGTTACAAAGGAAATACAAGTCTACCACTCCCGGCGCGGGAAGCCGACTTGGACCCTCGGCTGGGCTTTAAGTGGAAGCAGGAGACCTTTCTTGTGTGTCTGCTTCTCTATGACTACCCTGCAGTGGAAAAAGGACATTTTTGCAGTGAATTTATCATTTGCTGCAGATGTTTGGCTGAAGTTTCCTGATCTTGTCAGAAAAGCTGATGTCAAAAAATTGGAACAGGAACGGTGGTTTATTTATGTTTTCTTATGAGGTGTAAATTTACATAAATGAGAATTGTTTTTATTGCAGTCTCTTCAGGAGCTTCTAGTTTTGGGGTGTATACCTGTGCTTTCCTTTTCCCTGTTGGGGAGAACTTGACTTTTTACTTCAGTATATTACTCCTTTCGACTTTCCAGAACCACCTTCACTCCTGCCACTCCCAGCATGCTTTACTGATTCGTGGCCCTCCCCCTCCCCTCTTCAATAAATGGCCACTGAAAAAAGTAGACACAACCCTGTGGCTGCATTGCAGATGGCTAACCTCTTTTTACCTTTAGCCTTTTCAAAGTCAGCAAAGGATGAAAACAAGGAGGAATTCACAGAGTTCAAGTCTGGATCTTTCTCAGAGGGCCTGATGAGTGAACTTAATGGACCCTGTCCAGTTTCCCTGACTGAAAATGGTTAAAAAGTAGCTAGGAAGTTCTGGAAAAGCAAAAGTGGTTGTGATTATGAGGTAAGCATTAGCAAGGAAGTTTTTCTTGAATTTGACTATTAATACACCGTCAGGGCTTCAGGAGTAATCTTACACCGGTTGTCTGTTTTCTTTTTCGAGGTGGATGGAAAGTTATTCTCAAAAGCTCTGAGCAGTTGAATACCCATTCTGTTACAGGGGAGTCATTCCTTCTTCCAAAACAATTTTAATTTTTATGGTGTCTAAGTTAAAACAGAAACATTTATTTTCTTATGGGTAAAGTTCCTGGAATGCTCTATTAGGTAGTTTCAGTACATTTTTTTGAGCAAATAACACTTGACCAAACATTACTTTGAAAGTTGACATCTCTCTTTCTTTTTTCTTTTTTTTTAAAAAAAGATTAAAACATTCATGTCTTATACTAGAAAACATCATACTTTGGTGTTTGGTCTGTAAGAATCAGTTTTCCTGAGGCTTAGTTTCCTGAGACAGCTTCCCCTGTCTATGGCTTCTGTACTCAACAGGTGGTAGCAGCTGTGAGTGTTCAACTTACAATAAAAATTACACATGTAGATTATTACTGCTGTTGAGTTTACAAAACACACCCAAGTCCAGTTCATTTGTTTAAATTATTGACAGGTCCCCTGTGACTTACTGGGGTTAATGAATATGCAGATACAATGAAAGAGAGCCCAGGATAGAGAACATCATGGAACATATTGTACCTTATTGTAAAATAAAAATAGCCTTGGACGGCCCGCGGAATGTGTTCTAGCAGCATAATCAGTTCTTTACTGTGGTTTTCCTGCCAGTTGGGGAGCCCTGCGTCACAGAGGGCAAGTGCCAAGTGTCTGGTTTGCACTTTGGTAGGACATGTTTTTCTTGCTGCGAATTTTCAGGTTTGCAGTCTCCCCAAGTGTAGAGCATCTGGATCACCTTCCCCAGGCAGCTGCTTGCTTCCAGATGTCTCTGCAAAGGTTGGGCTATTGGAGACCAAAATGCAAGTGGCCAGGGCAAGCCCACAGCCCTCCACGATGTGGCCAGCGGGACTTTGCAGTCTGAGTGAATACAGAGATCTGGGGCAGCTTGTGGAATTTTCATCTTGTATCAATGAATTGATCTTCCAGATCCAGGCTTTCTTCTGTCAGGGCCAAATTTGTTACCATGTTAGAATGAAGTGCTGAAGCAACTACTGTACCTAAATAAACCTCACCCGGGCAAAACCTACTGCTGAAGCAGCATGGGATTTCTGCCCTGCATGGAGTACACCACAGTTAGTCTCTATTTGCCAAGAATGACTTGCTATCTTATTTCCCTTTGTCTGCATGGAGTCCACAGTTGGAGTGTGATAAAGTGCTTTCTTCTGTTCAGGCAGAATCAGAGACAACAGGCTAATGACCACCTAGAGCTCCTGACCACCCTCTGGCTCTGCAGCAAATGCACAGACACGCACCTCTGAGATCACTCACACCAAACCAACATCCAGGGACAAGGAATTAGAGGGAAGGGGACTAACCTGCCATGTGAACCATATAAAACATCCTCAGAGGCTTCATCTCATGTTTATAGAAAGACCTATGAAGCCCTACAGGGCTTGGGCTGCAGAACCTGCCCATGCTGTCCCCGACACCTGCCCAGCACCACCCCTTATCCAGGATTCTCCCTCAGTGCTGTTTCTGCATATCTGCTTGGGCATCTCTTCCAGTCCATGTCAGGAGCCTTCTGCTCCCTTGTCCCTGAATGTTTACACACTTGCTTGGAAGCTCAAGATAAAGAGAAAGTCCTACCACCTGAGTAAGGGGCCCAGTGTTTCCCATCATCACTTTGATACATGGAAGAACGCTTAGCAGATGCTTCATTGAAATTTAGGAATCACTGAGAAAAATGAAGCTACTAAGCCTAATGGTGAGGGCACAGGAAGAAGCAGAGATCAAGGATTCTCCCCCTGCCTCTCTGCCTGGCTGAGTACTTTCTTGTGGGGGAGCAGGGGGCGGGGGCTACTCACACAATAGGAGACACGCTTTCGAACAGCACCTTTTATAGCTTTTTGATCTGTTACATCAAGAGCTGGCAAATTCTTTCTGATAAAGTCCAGGTAGTAAATATTTTCAGCTTGGCACCCATACTCTTGTCACAAGCCTACAACTCTGTTGTTTTAGTAGGAGCGCAGCCATCAATAATCTGTAAACCAAAGGACATGGTTGTGTGGCAATAAAACAAGCGGTGAGCAGGCTGCAGGCAACCCAGCCCTTGTCATTGTGGGTCTCTGTACTAAACTGGCATCACCCTAAAATACCATTTCCTACAAGTGAACATGTGGATCTGCCATGCTTCCCCATAAGTTAGGTGCGATCTCTGTAGTTTCATTTCCATTTCATCGCCATTGTTACGTAGATAAAGGCTTGCAAACAACTCTATAGTGTTATTCTGTTTCATTTTCAGATTAGATAAAGCCGGATCTACATAGACCATGTACCATGAGCACTTTAGGTTTTTACTTTTTTTTTTTCCCCTTTCTTTTAAAAATAATATTTGTGATCATCTTATTTCCTCAGCTAAGCTGGAGACAAAGCTGGTAGTGCCAGCTCACTAAGCTCTGTGGCTAAACTGGTTTCTCACCCTCTAGATTCTGAAAAAGGAAAAGAAAGGATTGCACAGATTAGATGTGTTGTGAGGAGGGACAGAGTGTAATGGAAACCAGGTGGACCTCCATCCACCTCCCCAGACCTTGCACCAGCTAATCCCATCTTACAAAAGGACACAAAGGGTGGACTTTGGCTCCTTAACTGAGACTCTAAGTTACCCAAGAAGTGTGAAAGAGTCCACATTCCAGGAATGTAGCACAGGAACCCTAGCTGAAGAGGACCTGAAGACCTGAACAGGGGCAAATTGTCTTTCTTCATCTGGTGAATACTGAACCTTGTAGAGATATGACTTCTATTTCACCCAAATCCTGCCAGGATCTGATCTGGAAGGTCAGAAGCTCTAGAGGAACTACTGTTGTGGACTCTTGGAAGGAGGAGACCCTCCTGTTTCTGTCGTCCCCAATCAGCTCCCAGGCAGAACTGAGTGCCAGCAGTTCCCCAGTCAGCACCTCTGCTTTGATCCCTTCCCCTGTGCACTCCAGAACTCAAAATAACTTGGGTGACTCCTGGAAAATATTCACTAACCCCAGACACCAGGGCAGCAGCAAGGAGACTAACAAGAGACAGTGGGGCTTGGTCTTGGGACTTTAAGGTATTTATATTATAGAGCTAATGGTTACCAGGTGCTACTGTGGACTAAGAATAATCAGTTTTCTTCTTACTGAGGTAATCTAAGTAACCAGAGTGTGGGCTATGTGCAGACAAAGACCAGCTGGGGAATTGGTCACATTGTGAGTAGATGACCAGTGGGCACTGCTGGGCTACAATGTTCTTTAGTGGTAGTGACTCATCCAGGAGCCACAGGAAAAGGCACCGCCACCTTCACAACCACGGGAGGTTTTATAGACACTGTCATTATGGGGTCAGCAAACAGGAGTCAGAGAGGAAGGCTCAGCAGAGATAGTAGAGGAGTCAGAGACCTGAATTTTAAATCCTGTGTCAGCTCCTTGAGGTACAAATTCTCCTGTTGTTTCTAGACCTCTGCCCTGCCTCATTCTCAACCCTGGCTTTGCCAGAACCGTGTCATGATCTTAAAAGCCACATGCATGTGCAGGCCCCACCTTGGAACAACAGAGTCAGCATCTGTGGTCATGTAGAAGTTCTCCCTGGGGGATTCTAATGTGCGGTCAGAGGTGGGGCCCATTCCTCTATTCCTTTGTTCATAGCACTGATGGTGCTCCTGGGAGGAAATCAGGAAGGTTAGCAACACCCCCATCTCTTCACCTGGGGTTGCCTCATAAAGTTGTGTCTGAAATCATCCTATAAGAGAGACAGAGAGAGAAAGACAGAGACAGAGACAGAGAGAGAAAGAGAGAGACAGAGACAGAGAGACAGAGACAGAGAGACAGAGAGACAGACAGAAAGACAGAGAGACACACAGAGAAAGAGAGACAGAGGGAGAGAGAGAGAGACAGAGACAGAGACAGAGAGACAGAGACAGAGACAGAGAGAGACAGAGACAGAGACAGAGAGACAGAGACAGAGAGACAGACAGAAAGACAGAAAGAGAGACACACACAGAGAGAGACAGAGACAGAGAGAGGGGGAGACAGACAGAGAGAGAGAGAGAGAGAGAGAGAGAGAGAGAGAGAGAGAGAGAGAGATTGTCTGACAACTAGAAGTGGAGCAGGAGTCTCCCGCCTCCTGCTTCATGCTGGCCACTCCAGCCTTCTCCATGGTGAGAACAATGATGGTGCTGTGTTCATCCTGAGATGCCCACAGTTCATGGCCCCTGAGTGCTGTGGTGCAATAGAGGGCTCCTTGTGTCCTTTTGGAAGTGAGTCCAAAATTTAATTAAATCTCTGCCACTCAAATCACTAACTATTTGGAATTGGGCAAGTTACTTAACTTAAGATACAGTTGAGCCAGGTGTGGCAGCACACACCTGTAATCCCAGCACTCAGTAGGCTGAGGCAGGAGGATCATTGCAAGTTGGATACCAGCCTGGACTACATAGTCAGCTCAAGGCCAGCCTGAACTGCATAGTTAGACCTTGTCTCAAAGAAAGAAAGAAAGAAAGAAAGAAAGAAAGAAAGAAAGAAAGAAAGAAAGAAAGAAAGAAAGTCCTTAAGATACAGTTTTCTCATCTATAAAACGGACTTGGACTTGTTAAAATAGCATATTAGGATACATTAATAACTTAGTAAGTATTAAACTAGGTGGTAAACATAAATAACTTGAATCAATTTTCTCACCCATAGTAAGCCTTCAACAAAAGAAAGCTGTTATAATTAGCACTATAGTGAATTATGCTTCTGGGTCAGGGTCTGGTTTTATTGTAAGCAGTAACAACTCAAGAATAAAAGGGACAGGCCAGATAGTTCAGTGGACTAAAGCTCCTGCCTAGGCCGAGCACAGGGAGTGGTGTTCAATTCCTGGCACCACAAGCTGTGTGCTGGCCCAGCCCCCAGGGTGTGCTGAGACATTGACTGATACTGGGCGTGGTGGTGCACACCTGTAATCCCAGCACTTGGGAGGCTGAAAACAGGAGGATCACCACAAGTCCAATCTGTGTAGTGAGACCCTGGAGACCCTGTACTAAATACATAAAAAAGAATAAAGTAAAGCCCACAAATGAGTTTTATTGAAATTATATTTCATGAGAAAAAGAGAGAAAGAGTTCTCAAACTCAATTAGATCCAGTAGCATTGGTGATTGTCAGATATGATAAAGATGAACTTCTAGAGAAATCTCTCTTCAGAATGCAGGCCAAAAATTGCTAAGGCAGCCTTTGACCTTCTTTGCAGTCCTAGTGAGATGTGTGTCGACATTGCTGTCTTCTCCCCTCTATTAAGGGTGAAGAGGTGAGCTGAAGGGCAGGGAGGGAGCAGTTGTAAAATTCTGGTTAAGGTCAGCATAAGCATAGAGACAAAATAGGTAAATCACCAGTATCTGATATTAATTTTAAAAAGAGAAAATAAAAAGCAAGCAAAATTTCAATAGGATGTTTAGAGGTTAAATTATGTTTGGTTTTGAAACTGTTTCATTACTATTTTATCTTTTTTTCTCATTAAGATGAATAAAAAGTTTTACAAAATAAATAAATTATGCTTGGTCATGCCCTCTGTTATCATCAAAACATTTGCTACCTGACCAGTGGGGTGTGCATGTGTGTGTGTGTGTGTGTGTGTGTGTGTGTGTGCGTGTTTGTGCGGGTGTAGCCATGGGTATGCATTTTCTTTAAAAAAAAAATAAGGTGTCTTGTTATGTTTTGTTTTGGGTGCATTTTCTATTTATCTGTCAGACTGGTAACACCAGTTCCTTTCTACATATTTAGTACCTGTAGAAATATTTGAACTTCATATTTGGACTTCACCATAAAATAAATGTGTGTTTGAGAACTCAACTTGAACTTAGCCACTCTATCAGAAGACCTTTAATGTTGGAAATTACCCTCACATACAATTTTAAGAGAAAAGCCAAGTGAGATAATAAAACTAGAAAATGAAGGATTAATGAATGGGTGGATGAGTGGATTGATGGATGAATGAGGAGGGAAATGGGTGGACAGATTGAATAGATGGGTAGATTGGTTGATGAGTGTAACACTGGGTTCAGAAGAAACCCTGGCCAGTCTGTGGGTCAGCACGCTCTTTCTTCCCATTGGTGAAGCCAGGCTTTCCATGGAAGACTGGAGTTTCTATCGTCATTTCCATTTAATCTTGTGCCTGGCTCTCCTTTTTCCCATGCCCCTTGGAAACTCATGTGGCTTGCCACTTAACCAATAAGGAAAGGAGCTTTACTCTGTCCACCACTCCACTACTTCATACACATGGACTTCAGGAAGCAACCTGACACCCAGCAAACACTAGAAAAAGCCCTGCTGACGTAGGCAACTCTCTTAATTAAAATTGCAGCTCTACAACTCAGTGTACTATCATATGTCGTTGCTTCCAAATCCAGCCATGTTGGTTCTGGCTGAGTGGAATGCATTTCTACAATGGAGGCGGAAGTTTTCACCATCTCCTTTTGCTGTTAAGAGCACATTACATCAGAAAGAACCTCAAATGACATCCACATTCTTACCTTATTGCCACACCTCCACTTTTTCACAGGTCAGGAAATGCACGAGTTATATCCATGTACTAACTCTTTGCTGGGCAGTGAAAACACTCTATTGGGGAATGCAAAATAGAAGGGTGAGCAGAGTGGCAAATATAATTTTACATTCTGTAACCAAGATAGAAGGTAGATTGCTGGGAATTCACATGCCCAATGAAAGTCAAGAAATAATGCCCTACCACCTGGCACAAATCTTAAGAGTTTATCATTACACCTCTAGGCACTTTAGGAAAATTGGCACAAGAAAACTCAGTTTCCTAGGAACAAGTTAATGAAATTCTATTTATTTAAGTACTCTAAACTACTTGACTACCCAAGTGGTTTAACAAAGGAAGAAATAGAACAAGACCCAGGAAATCTGGGCTCCTATGCTGCTCTCCTGGGGGAAGGGAGCAGCAGGACTTCCAGAGAATGCAAATCATTGAAGGTATCAGGAGGTAGGTAGCCCAGGGGCTCTGCATCTTTAAGGGCCCAGTAGAACATAACAGAATCCTGAAGGAACCAGAGAGTTCATCTGCTTTGTCCCCCAGCTCAAATAGAGGGCAAAAGGAGAACCTAGGTGTTGGGAAGGATTTGTAAGTGGCCCCACACAGAGGCAGGAAGTGTAACTTGACCTTAGTCAACTTCAACATAGAACTCCACTCTCTCAAGTCCTCTTCCAAGGGATGTAAGGCCCCCTTAGGTAATTCCCAAGCCTTCCTTTACGCAGGAGCTCTGGTAGGTCAACCTGTTCTCCCCCACTCACTGGTACAGACTATGCAATTAGGAGCAGCTCTGGTAGCCCAGATTAAACCTATACTTGTCTCTGCCCCACTATACTCTACTCTCCTTGCCAGAGAGGAAACATTCAGTGATCTAAGTGAAGGATTGCATTTTAGATTCCTTTTTTTTTTTTTTCCTTGATCTCCGCACTGGAAAATGAGAGTATATACCATCAGAAAACTTGAAAAATAAAACATAACAATATTTGCCCATGAGAAGGCAATGAGTCTAAATTGATTATCCAAATATTCTTATTGACATATGTGTATAGCAAGGTGATATGTATCCTTTACTGATCAATAAACCACAGCATTAAACCTCTGGAAAGATTGCTGCCTACTAAATACACAAAGATTTCAGGAAGGAAATGGGCTGGGGGGGGGGTTGGTGGTAAGAAGTTCTACAGTGAGGACAGTTTGAAGAATAGCAAGTCATAACTCAACTCTCACTTGGGGGTTAAGGTAACCACACTGGCAAACCAAAGCAGTAGAACAGAATCCATGAGAGAGTCAGAGAGTATTCTTTAGCACATGATCAGGTATAGCTGCATGAGGGGAAAATCATCCCAGGAATATTTTTTAATGGCAGAGTAAAAGATCTACTCATTCTCTTTCTGGTCTGTTTAACTGTTTGTCAAACCAAGGCCAAAAATGACTGGGTGACTTGGCTTTCAGGGACTCACTCACAATTCTCTAGCTGTTATTCTTCAGAGTGGACCATAAAAAGAAGCTCACTAAAAACCAATTCCCTTTCATCAGCCTTACCTATCCATTTTTGCTTTGCTTGGAGTTTCCATGGCCCCCTATGCCATTTGACAGAAACCACCAAGACAGACCAAGACAACCACCATGGTCTGTGGTCATAGAGCAAGACCTCTGTGCACAGCTGTCCCTTCAAATCTGTTTTCTTGTTACTGTTTAATGTACTCTTGTGGCTTCTCCAGATAAGGTTTCATTACTTGGCACCTGACCATTTGGCATGGTAGGCAAGGAGTAGGTCCACCACTGAAGTTGTAGGCATTTGTGACACTCTACATTCATATTTCTCCTATCGGATTTGTGACAGCTCAGTTGAGATCTTTCATTTCCTATCATTCAGCCAATTTTCATTGCTCAGTTTTTCCACAATAACTAAAATAATTGGCAAAAGATACAATTTTGCAATGGGAAAGCTTCCAAAGTTTAAAAATTCCAGTTGTTGACCCACTTCTTTCATAATAAATACCTAATCTGTGTCCTGAGAGTTCTCCCAGGATATCCTGCATGTATGCTGCAGATAATTCAGGGTGGTTATGCAGAATCAAAGTTTTAAGGACATTCTCTGAGTATCAGAGGTAAAACTGATATGGATGCATAAGAAACTTTCATGTTTTCAACAAATGAGGGAGTAATAGCATAATAATACCACTAAATTCTGGGAAAGAGCAAAACTTACAATGGATAGCAAATAAGCTTTGCTAGAATCCAGAGACTAACCCAGGAAAAGTGAGGAAGAGACCCCGTGTATACCTGGGAACTGAGACATCATGGCAAGAAATGTGAGGACACATGCACCCCACAGAGAAGGGACTACTGCCAGGATGATAAATCTGAGCAATGTAGGGTAGAAGCTGCACCCAGCAGGTAGAATGAGGCATCGATATCACCAGTCCTGATGATAATATGTGACTTATCACAAACCAAGGTAAGGTTGCTAAAAGAAATTATGAGGGAAGATGTGGGATGATTCACTACTTTTGTCTCCCCAGCTGACCTTTGGGGTTCTTTAAAGGGATCAATGAGACATCTGTACTTACTCTATTTTATTTATTGCAAACATGGCCCTTGCAGAACTGGCTTTAGAATCAGTGTGCTGTGTGTAAAATCTTGTATGTTGCCTTATGGTGGAGAGGGGCCTGATGAGGACACCATCATACTACTCGGTTTAAGACATTACTCATCTAGATGATGTGAAGTTAAACAACAGAAAGACAGCTACTGAAGAGAGTTAGGCAGGCCAGCACTCAGCACTTGGCCAGAAGTAGAACAGGTCAGTGTTTCTTCTTTTCTTTTTTGCAGTACCAAGGATTAAACTCAAGACCTTGTGCTTGCAAACCAGGCACTTATGCCACTGAGCTATCTCCCTGCCAAGGTGAGGGTTTCAAGAGAAGACAAATGTCTTTGGTTGCAGTGGGCTGGACAGGCTTGTCTGTTTATCAATGATACTAAGATAGGATAGCAAGATGAGGGACACTCCCAGTACAGGGACACCTTCATCACTGCATGGAGAGCCAATCAGAAAAGTGGTATTTTCAATCCTTCATTTGAATGTGGTGTTTACTGGACCAATCAAAAGATGCTCCTTTTGAGCATGATGCTCCTTCATTTGCATGTGGGCACAGCCAGTTAAAAGACACAGGTTCTACATGACAATGTCAAGCCATACAGTTATGTGTAGAAGATGGGCAAGGCAATGATCCTGAGAATCTCCAGAAGACTTTTGAATCTAGCAGTTAATTGGAAAGATTCTCACCCCAACTATATATACTGATACCTGTGAACTAAGCAACTGCACTGCAGATGGTAATCTGTAATAGTAGTTTCCTGTTTGGAGTGCCTGTCATTCTGGTATTCTGAATACGGGTTGCTTGTCGTGACATGCCAGTTACTGCTATGCTGTCTCTCAGGTAGATTATGTTCAAAAAGAAGTGGGTAGTGAATGAAAGCAAGAGACAGGAAAAGGAATATTGTGGGACTGTCCTGCTTCAAGGCTGTATATGGTTAGTTTTTGGACTTATGTGTAAACATAAGAAGTATATAATTCTTTATGCCTATTTTTAAAATATATTCTAATTTTTAAATGTTTTTTTATCATATTCTGTAGGGACTTAAAGTTCAACATATCAATACTTGATGAAAAATACCTGTTCCATATTATGCCTAAGATATTTGATATGCAGACAGATAGTGAGGTTAAGCTTAACAACCTAAGTTGTATGGTAATAACAATAAGCTTGTCTTCTGGATGGTTAACAACCTAAGTTTGCAGACCAAATTAGAGAAAAGGGAGGGCTGCAAGGAAAGCCAACTTTTTGACCCTAGCCTTCCAAGGTCAATTAAGACTCAGGACATATGAGAACTTGTACTGTAACATAATGTAACTCAGTAGTGTCCCAAATTTTCTGATCAAGGAGATTATGGGGCCAAAGAGGAAAGTGATTGATGATATAGAGTGTGCCTAAGGAGAGTCACATTGAGAGAAAGCATTCTCTCAGGCTTTCACAGAGAGCACATTGGCCAAGCAATGGCCGTGACTCATCCACATGGCTGACACTGACAAAGGTTCTACAGTCTGAGGTACAAGATCTCAGGATAAATCCTGAGGGGATTTCACTGACCTTATCAGACCCAAAAGCTGCAACTCTTGTTGCATAGGTCCTGCTTTACCTTGGTCTTAACCATCCAGCAGAAAAGTATAAAAAAGAAATATAAGAAGTAAAGCCATACTGTTAATGTTGAGCTACAGGGGACTAAGGTCAACAATTTCTGACATTGCCAGTCAAGTGGAAAACCCAATACTATTATGGGCTACTGGACTCTTTTAGAATATTTTGCTGAGTTTACACACCTATAATATTCAAATAATGGAACTTAACAAAAAAAAGGGGATACAGATGAATGTCCATTTTGTATCTGTGTATTCAAAGTGGCTAGGATAGATATATAGTTACATTCTCTTAATGAATAGAGGGATTTGTTCAAATGGTATTTGTAAATATCATGTCCGCGTCTTGTACAGCAATTAACCACTAGGAAGAATGTATGCAATGTGTTAGTTATTGAAACTGTCCTACCAATTTGATTTGAAACTCTCTCATTGATATTTGTTTTTCAATAAAATTATAAAAAAGAAAAAGACACAAGTTCTGATCCCTTGTTTACATCTAGCAGAAAGCCATGGGCTAGCTCTTCCACAGAACAGTTTATGCATGGCATGGCTTGTGGTCAGGGAGTATCTGATAGGATGATTATCCCAAGGCCTTATTTCCATGGGAATGAGATAATGTAGGATTTTGGATACAAAAGAACACCTTTTTCTTACCCTCTAGACCTGTGAGTCTTCTCACTCTCTGCTCTCACCTTATAGAGTATACTTCTTTTCTATCGTCAAGGAACTTGCACTTGCCAGGCAGGCACATGAGCCACTGACCTATATCCCCAACCAAGCTATTTGTTTTTAATATGGGTATAAGCTTACACCAACACCTGCAGCAGTGAAGTGTGATTTGAGGAAGGTAAGGGGAAACCAGGTCACCATCAGGTGCTTTGTAGCACAAGGACCCTGAAGCCCTGTTGCCCAGAGACTCCAAATCTCCAACTGCCTTCCTAAGAGAATCAAAGGAGGGACTGGTCTCTTTGCAGAGACTCTGGTGTTTCATGAGCTTATCTTTATTTTTGTTTTTCAATGCCGTTTATTGAATCCAAAGGTTCTGCAGTGAGCTGCATCCCCACCCTTTATATTTTGAGACTGGGTCTCACTAGGTGGTCCAGATTGGGCTCAAACACACAGGTCCTGCCTCAGCCTCCAGAGTGCTGGGATTTCAGGCATGAGCCTGGACACCTAGTGGGTTTAGGTCTTAAGCACACATTTTGCCACTGGACAGTTAGATTTTACAGGTATCTTAAGCAAATGTCTATTTGGTGCTACAGACTTAGAATAGTTTCAGATGAACTCATTTTTTAACATTTAACAGCTGACTCCAAGAAACCCAAGGACACCCACAAGAGTAGAGTGAACGGTTATTGCAATTTGCCTGGACTGGGGTTTCCTAGGATTTTTACTTTTAAAACTAAGATGAGCCATCACCCTGCAGAAGAATAATTTGGAGATACCATTCTTTTTAAGTAATATTTGCATCTCTTGGTAATTTTTGTGCCATCTACTTCATGAGGGCACTTAGTGTTTTTCCCAGAAGGAATCCTTTGCATTGAGGAGGATGATGGGAAGGTGCGGAACCATCCACTGGGAGGCTGGAGGCTGCACTCATGTCAGCTTCCTCCTGCAAGGATATCCAAGGACAAGGGGACATGGGATTCAGAAATCAAAGCTATTTTTCTGTGATTCAGGCTAAGTTTCATGAGGCTGAGGTCAGTGCTCCATTGCTAGTCCCCCAACAGGGGTAGGTCTCTTGGCTTTTTTAACCTTCACTTACTCAATCTTCTTCCTGGAATGTCTGCAACACTTCTTTGGGTCCATCTATGGAAACCTTATGGTTTAAAGTCCTTTGTTCCCTACTCTGGAAGCCTACGTTCAACTCTAGAGGAAGAGATAGTTAGCTTTTTGTGGGCCTCTGGAATGCTTCTACGATATAGTACATTTTCTGCTGCGTGACAGTTAACTATATATTCATCTCTCTTTTCAACAGTAATTGAAGAAGTATGCAGACTGAGAAGTCTTTGTAATCCAGCAAAGAGAAATCAAAGAGAAGGCACCCAAGTTAGTTACTGATCAAACCGAGCTGTCATGCAAGAAAGGATTCTGTTAGTGATAAGAAAGCCCTGCTAGAACCCTTCCCCTACTTGGAGTAAATGACCATATACATAATAAATCATATGCATTTTAAATCACCTTCCAAATTTAGTCCTGAGATTCCTGATTTTATTTTGCTTGGGAGATGAAGGAAGGACAGAAGGAGAGGGAGAGATGCTGAAGGAAACTGATGGAGGGAAACTGATAGAAGGGAACACCTTCTGAATTCCTAGAAGGGGTTATCGGCGTTTAGGGTCTCTTTGCTGCTTGAGCCATCCCATGTCGCTATGCCTGAGTCCTACTGGATGGCAACCCCTCACCATCTTGGTCACATTGCCCACAGGCCATGGGAGCCACTGCTATTACAAATGCACAAAACTCCAGCATTCAAAAAATCCATGTACCTAACGTTCATCTCCCCTCAGCCAAAGGCTACTTTACGCAAGATGATGAAAGCTCAGTTCCCTTACTAGGTGCTGTCCTTGAATCAGAACCCATGGTCAGGCAGGGCCTGGACCTCAGTCTTGGCCCACAGTTGTATTCTGTCTTCTTTCCACCCAGCTTACTTGCCCTACAGCCACTCTAGGTTCCTCCCTGGAGGGCTTCTTTAATAATGGGTATGTGCAACTTTGTCTCAGGGTCTGCTTCTGGAGCTCCTATCCTGAGATAAGCTTTTGACTTTAGCTACCTAAGGCATGCTTCTGTCTAGAAAGCCAGAGGCAAGCAGCCCCTGCCCACCCCACCCCCCACTCCCTAGGCCCTGGCCTGCAGAGTCTTCAAAGATTGACATGACAGAGAGACTTTACTCTCCGAGGTTCATCTACATTTCAAGGGGCATCTCCAAGATCAGGGTGATGGCAGCAAGCCAGAGGCAACTGGTTACATCATGCATGATTCAAGGGGGCTCTTGGAGCTCTTGGGAGATGGCTTGGTGTGCAGTACTGGTAAAGTCATAAGAACTGACTTAACCCTCCAGGAGTAGCTCCACCCTTGCCACAACTGAAGCAGAATCTGTTCAGAGGTAAAGATGCTTTGTTTTCCTCTTATCACCCTTCAAGGTTTCAAATGTTGCCATCCAAGTCAAGATGAGAATTGGAAGCATTATGACAATTTTTTTTTCTTTTCTTGGAGATTATTCTTAGAAAATGGATCGCTTTACAATGGTGGTGCTTGTGAAGATTAGCAAACTTATATTTGAACACTCATTATAGAGAACTTTTAAAAGCATTAATTTGCATCTGCTCTGCACTCAGATGCTTTTTTAAAACCTCAGGGAAAAATACATATTTTAGATGTATATTTTTATTCAAATTTGACACATTAAGTTTTGCTTTCAATTAACTACAAGAGAAAGGGAGGGAGAGAGAGACAGAGAGATATGAAACCCAAAGGGGAAGGAAAAAAGGCAGGAAGGAAGAAAGGAAGGAGGGAGGGAGCGAGGAAATGTACCGAATAGTCACTCACATTTATTGTTTACTTTAGGCTTATTAGTGCTATTAGCTATCTTTAATGACAAATTGATTAGTGATGCTGTTTCATGTCATCTTGTACAGTAGATTTTAGATGTTACTCCCCAAAACCAGGCTGTGAAATAGGCTTAACTCACTGAATGGGTGGGAGATTGGGTAACACAAAACATTTATTACCAGAATTAGAAGTGTTAAAAGGGTCAGATAGCTCAGTGGATTAAAACGCCTGCTTAAGCAGACACAGGGACTGGGATTCATTCCCTGGTGTGCCATGCTGGCTCTACTCCTGGGAGTGTGCTGAGATGGCGACTGAGACTGGGCGTGGTGGTGTGCCTGTAATTCCAGTGCTTGGCAGGCTGAAAACGAGAAAATCACTATGAGTCCTATCTGTGTAGTGGGAACCCTGTAGACTGTGCACTAAATACATTTACAAAAAATAAATACATAAATAAATAAATTTTAAAAAATAAAGAGTTAAAAGGGTTCCCTATTTCCCTCCCTTAGCATCAGAAATTTCCAGGAGTACCAACAGAACATTTCAGTAGTAAGACATCCAATACAAAGTTTGTTCCCCATGATTGAGGTCTCATAGAAGGTTCTTCTAGAATTTTCCTAAGCTCCAGTCCACCCTCCAGTCATGCATTCATAATGCCTCTCCTCCTTTGGCAAATTTTGCAGAGCGGCAGCCTCGAGATCAAATTGCTGACACATTCCCAAGTGAAAAAGAATAAAAAGAGATAAATAGGAATGCAATGAAGAACACTGTCTTAACATTTAGGGTTTTTTGTTTGTTTGTTTGTTTGTTTTAGCATATCCATATTCCTGGGGATTTATATTCTTCTGTCACCATGAATAAGTATCAGCTCTTTCATGGACAGTCCTGCAGGGACTCAAACTTGGCCAGAGAGAGCATCAATCTGTGAAGGTAATTCCTCCTGTGTATCCCCTGGATGCTCAAAAGTGTCTATGTGCATGTTCACAAAACAGTAATTTGAGAAAAATGTGGAATGGTAGAACACACATGAACTGAGAGGGAGAAGAGCTGCTTATTCCATGGCTCTGTGACTTTGACCAAATCACTCACCCTCTCTGGCTTCTCTTTCCTGGAACTTAAAAGGTGACTAATTGTGCTTGAATTTTGATCTATGCACCAAATTAATGCTTTTAAAAGTTATCTACAATGAGTGTTCAAATATAAGTTTGCTAGGAGTTGAGGCTGAAGGTACTCATTAAATATAAGAAGATAAGAATTAAAATTTAATTGCATTAAATCATATCCTCTATGCAGAATCCTTTATCTGTATACTTTTCTGAGGGTTTTGGATATGCCAGGCATCTCTGAAAAGAGGGTATCTGGTAACCAAATCAAGCATGGTCATGTTCCAAAATGATGAAACACAGAGAGAAAATGATGGAGTTGGGACAGTTTCATGCGGGGTGAATAACATACGCACCAAGAAGGATACTGAGGCACGGAGGTCAGCCAGGGCCACATTTGATGAGGACTTTCTGGGCAGGGACCACGTGGCTGAACCCTGATCATGGATAAAGAGTTGAGCCTTGAAGGAGCGCAGAGGGAGAACACTCAGGGCAGAGGCGTCTGCGTGGTGAACGTGCAATGCGTCCCCACAGCTTCCGTGATGGACGCCTCTGCTCCTCTAGGCATTGCCTTTGGACCAGTGGAGGAGTACCTCATTACTTGGATCATCACCAGGATCCCCGTACACTGTGTCACAGGTGGGCCAGGAAAGCATACATGGGCCACAGATAAACCACTTGACATAGTGGCTACAAGGACACCTTGCTAGGTTCCAGACAGATCCTTATGACTTCATTTCCAGACCCGAAAGATCTCCCCTCACCTGTCTGCTCCAAGGATTTCCAGCCATTTATTCATAAAAATGCCAGATTCTGCAGGCATATTAAGGCCAGCTTCCAAGGAGGTTCCCCCCAGCCCAACTCCCACAGTCCTCCAATACCCAAACTTACCCACATCTATTCAACTAGGGAAACAAAGGCAGTAGGAAAACCAACCTGGAGCTGAACACAGGAGTTCCTTGTGTGTCACCTAACTTGGGGACACAGACATGGTCTGGCCCTGAGTGCTGCCTCTCCAGGAGGTGGGGAATTTTGTTAACGTTCCTTGGGGGTAGGAAAGAAGATGTGAGGTGAAGGGCAGGTAAAGGAGAGCTTGTTGTGAAAGATAAGCTGGTTATTTATTTATATTTTACATAGGCAAAGAGACCTTTAAAGAGGCCTTGATAAGGGTGGCCAGAGTTTCTTCTGAGATTTACTGACCTTCTTTAAAGAGAGTTTCAGTTTTCTTTTATACAGGTGTCTGGAGGGCTGAGGGCAGGGGAGTTTGAGAATCCTGGTGCCCGTCTGTGGATTTCCTCAGGACGTTAAGATACACTGTGACATCATGGTCTCTTTTCTCTGATATTCTCTCTCTCTCTCTCTCTCTCTCTCTCTCTCTCTCTCTCTCTCTCTCTGTCTCTCTCTCTCTCCTTCCTTCTCAGCCCCTCCCTCCTCTGCCTAATCTCTCCCAACCTCTTTCTTTCTCTCTCAGTTCTTTCAGGTAATTCCTACTCAAACTTGTACCAACTTGTTTCTGACTGACAGTGCACAGGGAGCACGTTCCTCTGGAGAAACCCACAGCACCTATCTTTCCCCAGGCAACCTGCGACCGGCTGCTCAGTTCTTTGCCTGCCCTAACTTCTCCAGCCAGGAGGCTGCAAGCATCCAGCTCTGCAGGTAAGAAGCTCACACTGTGTCCACACCAGCTCGCGCTGCAGGCTGGAGATGTATTTGAAAACTTTACTCCTAAAGGTAATGAAAACATTACGATTCTTTTAAAACTTACTTACTATCATTCAAGGCGTCCAAGCTTATCTGGGGGAATTTACAAGTGCCGTTTGCATGTGAAAAACGGGTTTTCCCTTAATGATGGGGCATAGCAGCAAAGAGCCCTTTCTTCTTGCTTGTGAAATGCTACCCAGATGTTGTCTTGCTCCCTGTGGGTGGAATGGATCTAGATTGCAAGAGAATTACTTTGACTTTTTTGGCAAGTGCTTTCCTGTCACAGTGTCTGTTTGCTATTGATTGTCAGCGATTATATAGTTCTTTGGCTAATTTTCTGGCAGTCCTCTCTTTTGTTGGTGGTGAGATCAGCTTAGGTTGCTGTAAGGCAAAACCTTACCGGAATATTTTCCAATCTGTTACCTAGCCTTATGAGAAAGGAGTTATGTAAGTTTTCTGTGAGGTACGTATAAGAAATGTAAGCAATTCTGACTTTGCAAGCTTTGAGAACTTTGTTCACGACCCGTGGATAATGCTTTTTATAATCTGTGTATAACTTCATGTGAGTTTAGACTATTCTGAGCTAGTAAATGTAACACAGGGTGAAATTTCCACAATGCTCCTGTAAAGTCTACTTTTGTCTCCTTGCTGTGCTTCCAAACTTAGTCTGTTAGTTCCTTGAAGGAAATCAGGATTTTTCTCCTATCAATATTTCTTGACCTCAGTTTCTTAAGTTACAGATTAGCAAATGTACTCAAAAAACCAACAAAACAGACAAACAACAACAAAAAATCCCACAGAACTTTTTTAGAAAACTAAAGACAGAAATCTTTACCACAATGTTCACAGGTTTGGCGATCCTTCTTTTTATCTTAACATGTCTTAACTTTTTCTTCTAAACCTTTAGGAAGGATTTCAGCGACTCTCAGAGTTCTTACTTTGTGGTGTCAGAATAGCACACAACCAACTGTTATTCCAGGTCCTTCCCTGTTTTTTCCTCTCTTGGATGTTTAAACAAATAGGTCACAATCAGTTATAGCCTTAGGTGATAAATTATCTCCGGTTAAAAATTGTTCTTAAAAATCAAAAGAAAACGTCACGTAAAACCGAAATGCACTTTTAAATGTCATTCTTTTGTGAAATCTGCACATTAGGGAGACTGCCAGCTCAACAGCGAGACACACTTACCTCACACAGCGCTTCGCTGGCTCTGCTCTTCCCGTCCCTTCCTGGGGTTTTACTGGTTTACAGTTTTCCTGCCTCCCTAGCTGTCATATAATAAACTGACCACAAAGGGAGTGACCTGGAGATCGTCTGGGGCATCAGCTATGGAAAGCTGGAGTGGGACATTGTTTAGCCAAATCTCCAGTGGTCTTATCATAGAAATTTTTGTCACTGAATTAAATAAATGAGTAAGTAGTTTGAGAGTTTTAGAGAAATCAGCACAGTGGAAGTCTACGATTCTGGTTTCCAAAGGAAAATGCCTTTCTAAAGAGTCCTCCTTCTCTCTGGCAACTCCTTCCTCACACTAACAGTTGTGGTCACTTTGCAGAAAGTGCTACTTCCTCCATTTCCTCTCCTCACACATTTACCCAGTGCCGACAGCCATCATTTGGGGGGAAAGAGGGTGTGAGACCCCAGGTTTCCCATGCCATGGGGCTGGAGCCAACAAAAGCAGGTCTTTTGGCTCCTTCCCTGGGAGCTACCCGTGCCCTCTCTCCCACTTGGAGATCTTGAAAAGTTGCATGTTCTTGTTTTGGGGGATGTGTGTGAGTGTGTGTGCAAGCATGTGTGTGCATATATAATTTTATACCAGAATGACAGCAGCATTCTGGGTACAGGAAAATCCACCCAGCTGTGGCTAGCAGCACTGAATAGAGAGACAAAGTTTTTCTGCCTTAATCAGTAAATGTCAAATACTTGACATAGTCTTTCCTGCCCAGTCACCACTCATCTGTTGGAGGCTCCGGGGCAGTCCCTGACTTCCTTGTACATGTTGCTTTGGAGGCCAGGGTTGAGTCTGGGGTGTGTGTGTGTGTGTGTGTGTGTGTGTGCACGCGCGCGTGCTTGCAGGTGTATGTGTCCTACTGCAGCTGCATTGGAATCTTCAGAGCCACTATGTAGAGGGTGAGCCATGAGCGGAGCGCATCTGGGAGCGACCAGCCCCCAGGTATGCTCATTTAAGGTGTGCCAACCTCCCGGTCAATCCCTTTAGTCTTCAGGACAATGGTAATGCTGCCCCTGCCCCAGCTAAAGCCCTCTCACCAGAGCAGGTGAGATGTCTTTAAATATGCAAACTCTTCTTTCAAGTAAAAATAACTCTCCTGCAGAAAAAGAACTTGTTATAGAATGAATGTTAGCTTTTGTTTGCAAAAAAGCATGCATGGCTTATTAACAGGCATGGGCCAAGGGCCAATCTGACAAGTTACTAAATACCCTTCTCTTTCCTCTGGTTCAAGGTGGGCTGTGGCCAGCCAGGTTGGCACAGGCAGAGCTCAGGTACAGAGTGAGCCAAGAGAAGCCCTCACTTTGAGCCTGTGGAGGACAGGTATGACCCAACACACCTGGCTCTTTGCTGCTGTTCAGGTAAATTCCTGGGCCAGCTTTATAGACAGGTAGGGGAACTATGGAACCAGGCAGAATTTCAGCGGCAAACAGCCCCAGAAAGGCCAGATCTTTGAATCTTCCCTCAGCTAAAATAACAAAGGGAATCCACTCTCCAGTTTAAAAGGGAGAATTAAGGGCAGTGAAGGAGATCAAATAATTAATAATTTATAAACAAGAGCTCTGGGAAAGAAATTTTATTTGCTGTGTTATTTGGTGGAGACGAAAGGAAAAAACCTGAGAGCACAGGCGTCCCTAACGAAAGAAGGGCAAGATAGTTGCACTGGTCCGCTGTAATTGCTAGAGCACCCTGCCTGTGCCAGCTCACCCAGCAGTGGGTGTGGAGCGCTGCCTCCTCACGGCCATGCTCTTCACATAGAGAGAAGGCGAAGGTTCCAGGAAGAAGGCAGGGAGTAGTGGTTCCTCTGATGGCATGGTGTCCTGGTTGGAGACGTAATCAATAAGCCGATGAGTACCGCAATGTGATTTGACTCCAAAAGTTTATGCATGGCCGAATTCCAGGGCAGAGCCTGTGTTTCTCACCTATAATTTTGTAGCATAAAATTCTAGTTATGCTAGTCACAGTAAGAAGACAGTTCAGGGTTGCCTGATCATGCTTGCAACATTAGGAGATTCACAATAGGAAAGTCAGGGTTGGTCATTTCCTTGTCTTAATACAGCAGTAATGCAGTCCTATCTTTGCACGAATGAATGTTAGATTCCATTTTTGCAAAAATAGAGTATGGTTCAGTAAAAGACAAATACAAGAAGCAAACCAGACAGGTACAAAAGCATGTATGGGCCATCCACCTGTCTCGTGTCCAGAAAGAATTAGTGTCTATGCCTCCTAGGAACTGAACACATAGAGGGGAAATGTTGGATAGTGTTATAACAGAGTAAGCAATATCATTTTTGTTTCTCCCCTATGACCCTGCTGCTCAAATGTAGAGCAGTCTTGACTGCAGTGATCCACCTTCAACCAAGCAAGACCTTTCTGTCCTGGGTTGGTCAAAAGTCATAGTGGCACCATCTGACCCTCACTCAGGTTCAGGAATTTGCAGCAAATGGCCTCCTGGGGTTGGCAGACCATGTCCCTAGGACGATAGGACACCCTGATCACTGCAGCAGAGAGAGAGGGAATGACTCAGAGGAGGAGCACTGAAGTAGGAATTCTGAGTGCTCAGAAGACAGAGGGATCTGGGTGTGGCTCATGTACACCCCATTTTAGTCAGAGCTGCCCCATTATCAGACAGATGTGTATGAGAATCTTACATATTTTCTGTGGTGCTGGTATCAGAGGTTACATGGGATTTTATAGCATTTCAGATTAAATAGATTGGGATTTTCTTTGAGAAAAAAAAATGAATGCAAAATTGTGACTGTGAGATTGGGATGAAGATTTGGAGATGCTTTATCCCTGTGAGGAGCCCTGAAGCTAGAATGCCATCAATTTTGTGGTAAAACTATTCAATGTCTTGCATAATAAAGGCCCAACACTTATTTCTTGAATGAAGGGATAAATTAACCTATGTAAGTGTTAGCTGCTCAGTAATTCCAAGAAAGAAAAAGCAACACACTGTGTAATGTTGCTTAGACATCACAAATGATCAATGATAGATAGAAAATTGATAGCTGGAGCATTTCTCATGTCACTGGCATGTTGCTAGGAAAGGTAGATTCATGCACTGCCACTTAACATTTAGGTCGTATCTAGGTTCCAGGATAAGATATTATCAGAACTGCTTTTCTGAAGTTAATGAGATGCATTTTCTACCTGGAAATCCCTGAATTTGAAACCCAAGGAACCACTGTGGCAGTGTAAGCATAGAGCCTAGGAGCGACGGCAATCCTTTCAGAGCTTTCGGTAGTAACCAATAGCCCAGAGTGGCATGTGTAGACTCACCATCACTGTATTGAATGCATCTGCAATATGCATCTCCTTTAGTAGACTGACGAGTTGCCTCTTGAAATATCTGAGTGTCTAGAAAGGGGACCTCTTTTCCTCCCTGATTTCTATCAATGCTGTTTCTAATTTCCAATAGCAGCTATTGGCTTCGTGTCTTGATACGAACGTTGGCTAAACACATGCCTACCAGGCCAAAAAATGTTCTCACTCCATAGTGTTTATGCTTTCAAATATTTACCGATCGGTATCTTGCCCTATTCTTGTCCTTTTTGCCAGAAAATACAAGGTCAGTTTCCTGGCTCTTGATTTCTTGCTTCGTAAGATACCCTTTGTGTCTGTTCCTATGCTTTAAGAAAGAACTTGGAAAATTTATCCCTTGCTTTGAAAGTTCATGAAGTTTGGCATCATGTGTACCTTTTCATCTGACTTCATGCTACACACCTGCTAAGAGTTAAAGAAAATGTATGAACCCTGGGCCATCTCGCTGTTTGTCTCTGGCATCCTGTAAACACTAAGGAAT